TTTAAGAGCTTGTGATACTGACCGTTTTTATACTGTATCCTTGTTTTAGAGCTGCCAGGACTGGTGTCTTCACTCAAAACAGTCCTATACAAAATGGCAGATTCACCTTTGTCTTCCATGAATTCCAGCCAAAGCGACTCACCACGCACTGGCAGTGACACTGGCAGTGAAGACATGGTATGACTGAAGGACCTTAAACCGATCCCTCATTAGCATTGTGCAGGCCCTCCAGGATTTTGCGATCTTGCATGTTCACCAATTCATGCAAATTCAGGGATTTTTCTGCATTTGCGGGTTGTAATATTCAATAAATACGAAATCATACACTGCAGAAACGGCTTATCTAACCAAGTGTTATTCATTTTCAAAAGTGAAAAAAAATTCTAGTTATGTATCTAGGATATGTATGTATTTAGTTAGGTATTGTTTTCAGTATAAAAGACTAACCTAGGGCTTTATTGTAAAATCATTTGACTTAATTTAAAATGAGTTTGAGTATCATTACGCAAACAAGCAAATTTGGCTGCCAGAAATAAGAAAAATTCTTAATAGATTAAGTCAAAATGATCTTACGAGAAAGGGCTAGGTAAGTCTCTTTATAGTAAAAACAATACCAACTAGCTTTTTATTATCTGCTGTGTAGAATTTCTGCTATTTTTGCAAAATCTTTGTTATGATTGGGTGCAATAAGCATACCAAAAAAAATCTTACAAGATCCTGGAATTACTAATTGTGTTAAAACACGAGACACGTGCCAACCTGCCCTATAGAGAAGTGTTTGTAATGTACCTTTTGTCTTAATCTGCTTGTGTGTTTTCACAGATGTCATTGGGAAACTCATCAGTGCAAGTCCCAAAATGTCTCTATCAGAGGCTGAGTGGGAGGAGGATGTCCCTCTTCACACAGGAACTGGCCACATTGCTGTTTGGAAGGGAAACTTTGGCCAAGGCAACCCTCACAAGGAAAGGGAAAAAAGGCGAGCTGAAGGAGCAGCTTGAGCCAGAAAAAACCAACGCAATTATAGGTACAGTAGTGTCATAATTATGAATACACATCCATTGTCACACATCAAGATGAACAGTGACTGCAGAGCTCCATTACCAGCTCAAACTTCAATATACTATATATTATAGCTTTGTTACTTTCAACATCTGTAACTGGAATATGAATGAAACATAAATGAAGTGTTTTACTTTTAAGAAGAGTTTTGGTCATTTTTTAGATTCAGTAATAAGTGTGGTTTTATATAAATAACATGTTATTTCACAGAGGTTTTATGAAGATTTTAAAACCTGGTTCGTGTAACATCTATCAATATGAAAATGTTAAACCTGTATTAATGACTGTAAGCAACACAATACATTACTGTCTCACATTCAAACTTTATTATGTTGGAAGATAAATTACATCATAATATATAAAATAAAACGTAAAACATAATTGCAGCTTTTACAAATATCTGAAGGTTAACTTTGGTAATAATAGTTTCAAGTTAAAATATCAGACTATGAAATATGGATACAGTACAGTTTACAGTTGTACTTACTGAGGAGTTTTTAAACCACATAAACAAGTTACTTTATTAGATGAGTGATTCCTTCAGTTATATCAACATGTTGTACAGGATAAAGTATTCCAGGCAGGTTTCTGCCTCATTATGGTAAGTTTCCATGGTCTCAGTAAACTAATGTGTATAAAGAATATAGCAGATGGGAGGTTACAGTAATCATCATACTATTACTCTGATTACTTTGGTACATTTACTGGGTGTTTCTTCACTAGAAACAACTGCTTGACTAATGTTATTAATATTATGTAATATATAATATGTTTAACTTCACTGGGCTGTGTAGACTGTTGGTCACTGCTCACTTCTGTACCTGTGAAGACAAGCATAAAACACAGTGTTGGTTCTCATAATTAAGGTATAAACACTAACATTGTGTGATAGATAGAGGTTAATATATATATAAGTAATATAGCAGTATTTACCTGAGGAAAACGTCACAGAAAGCTGTGATCCTGATTGTTGATGTTGTTCCTTTCTCCGTGATTTCAGGTTCCCGCTCTAACATGTCCGGTGGTGAAGTTTTTGGTTTAGAAGCAGTTATTGAATTAATATTGACAGTAGAAATGCAGCTAAACTCAGTAACAGTGAAGAGCTACCTGCCGGCAACAAAGGGGAGGGGCCGGAGCGTCATCCTCGTGAACTGCGTCATAATGCCGACCAATCAGAGCAGACTGGGCTCTTTCGGAGGGGGGCTTTAAAGAGACAGGAGCTAAAACCGATCGTTTCAGACAGAGGCTGAAAAGAGGTGCTCAGCTATAGGCAGTATGAGGAAAACTTATCTGTTTTTTGAACATTAAAACATCTAAACCTATTGTAGGAGGGCCACAAAATACAATTATGAACCTGAAAAAAGGGGCATAATATGACTCCCTTAAGCATGTTTTTCGCTAGCCAATGTCTACAGGTCCAGGAAATGGTCAAAACAAACGTGCTGCTTAGCCAAAAAGGAGCTCCATGCATCTGCACTCGATTGCTCTTACTGAACACCTTGACTCGTCTGTGACCTTAAAAGTGTAATCTAGTGGTTTGAAATTGAATTGAGAGAACTGAATTTGAATTGAGAGAACTGAATTTGAAAGTACAAAAAAAGTTGAATTTTTAGTGAGGCTCAAATTCAGTTTCAAACTAATAAATTCAAATTCAAAATATGCTATTCAGATTCAGTTTTTCAATACAGTTATTGAAGTTTAACAATACAAATTCAAATTATGCAATTCAAATTCAGTTTTTGATTGCAATTATTCAAGTTGAGCAATTCTGATTCAGTTTCTACTGACACAAAAATCAGCCTATAGAAATGCACTTGAAATGTATTGAAATATAATACACTTGTAGTATAATAGCAACATTTATGCTTAAGTATAACAAAATTGGGATAAAAGTACAGAAAGAAAACACTATAATAACATTGCACTTAAAGTACGTGTCTATGATGTTCAGGTTGTTATTGAACTTCACTTTAAATACATTATCATTGTCATAGTGGGACACTTTAAAAGCACTAAATATAGTAAGGAAGTGTATTTGTAGATCACTTGAAATATTAAAGAGGCATACTAAATTAACATAGTGTATAGTAATAATAATTATGATAACAGTATGTACAAAATGTAATTAAAAACAACTGTAAGTTGAGCTGCAATGCCTTTTCATTAGAATGGTGATATAATGTAATTGTACTGTAAGTGTGCTTAATCACTCATGAATCTTGATTTTCATTAGTGTAATTTAGTGCACTTGAAGTTTGAAAAAAGTTGTTCCATTTTAGCATACTATTTACACTTGAAGTGTAGTAAAATAGGTTTTAAGTTGAACTTAATACATAATTGAATACACTTAACTACACTTGGATTTGACGAAAAAAGTACAAACTACGTGTGGATTTTTGAGACTCATCTGACGTCACAAATGCATTTTTTCTACAAGGGGGTCTTCTGCAGCCAATCAGATGTCTCACTCCTTTACAGCCAATCACATGCCTCCCCACGAAGGGTTTTTAACTGACGTCATTACAGCGCACAACGGATCTAGAATGATATGGATCTAGATCAAAAGGAAACATGGCTTCTGGAAGCGGCAACCGCGACAATTTAAGTGTAAGTGAAACATAACGTTTTGTTTTCTCAATCTTTTACATAAGTCATGTTACAGAATTGTGAATGAATGTTTTTTCCTAATTTGTGACGCCAGCTCGGGTTGTTGGAATTATTTTTTTAGGCCGGTTAAGTAGGGTGGCTATTTGCTTCACATCAAAAAGGAGGACACTTTGCATACACAGGGACACGCAAGCAGATGTTTGTTTGGTATGATCCTGTTTTAAATTTTAATATGTTTTTGTCCTTTGTAGTGCAGGGAGAGCTCCTGAGGTCATTCTTTGATACTGTTGTGGCATCAGCCATTTTCTTTGGAGTGGTCTGCTGGAGCAGCCGACAGGAAGAGACTCGACAAACTGATTAAGAAGGCCAGCTCTGTCCTGGGTTGCCCCCTCGACTCAGTGCAGGTGGTGGGAGAGAGAAGGATAATAGCAAAACTATCATGGACAATGTCTCCCAGCCCATGCAGGACACCATCCCCCCCCCCATCTCGGCATCAATTATAATATATGTCATATTTATATATAATAACAATGTGCAATAATTACTGTGCAATACCATTCCATATTCACTGTGCAATCTATTGCCCATGTGCAACTGCTGCTGCTGCTGCTATTTGTGTTACCTGTTGTTTGTGGATTCTTACTGTTTTTTCTTTTATAGTGTTTTTATTTTTTATTTACTATTTTCATACTCTTACTGTTTTTTTATACTGTTTTTCTCTATTCACTTTGCTGCTGTAATATTGGAGTTTCCCCATTGTGGGACAAATAAAGGAATATCTTATCTTATCTTTTCCACCAGATTACATAAAGGTGCATACACATACCACATAGCTAATAATAAATATACAAGATACAGCTCATGACAACGTGCCCTTCCAATTCAGATTACATAGGTCTAATATAAAAAACATAAAAAAATATAAATTTGAGATTTTAAAAATTATTTCTGAAAATCTCTCTCAAAATACTTTTTTAACTCTCAAATATATATTGTTTTGCTATCAGTGTGAAAACATTTTCTCTCAAAACAAGTCTCTCAAGTCTTTGCTCTCGATGCAATTTCTTGCTCTCCTGTCAGGATTTTGCTCTCACTTTGAAAATAATGTAATGGGCGGGGCCACGTTCCTATTGGCCAGTCGGGTGAGCATTGTTTTGGGAGTCGAACTGAATCATTACACCATTGTCCATTCACCGGCATCGCTGCCTTAGTTGAGCACGGAGACTCCAATGTTTGGGAAAGATGATGACACACACAACTCCATGGGTAGCTAGCTGAGAAAGTTGGTAATCAAAATCATTCCCATCATAGGAACGACTGTGTAGTCCTAACTGGTTAGAGAGTAACAGATCAGAGGTATTAAAGGATGTTTAACTGGTTAGAGAGTAACAGATCAGAGGTATTAAAGGATGTTTAACAGGTTAGAGAGTAACAGATCAGAGGTATTAAAGGATGTTTAACAGGTTAGAGATAACAGATCAGAGGTATTAAAGATGTTTAACGGTTAGAGAGTAACAGATCAGAGGTATTAAAGGATGTTTAACAGGTTAGAGAGTAACAGATCAGAGGTATTAAAGGATGTTTAACTGGTTAGAGAGAACAGATCAGAGGTATTAAAGGATGTTTAACTGTTAGAGGTAACAGATCAGAGGTATTAAAGGATGTTTAACTGGTAAAAAAAATAATATAATTAACGGTTAGAGAGTAACAGATCAGAGGTATTAAAGGATGTTTAACTGGTTAGAGAGTAACAGATCAGAGTATTAAAGGATGTTTAACTGGTTAGAGAGTAACAGATCAGAGGTATTAAAGGATGTTTAACAGGTTAGAGAGTAACAGATCAGAGGTATTAAAGGATGTTTAACTGGTTAGAGAGTAACAGATCAGAGGTATTAAAGGATGTTTAACTGGTTAGTAATGTGGAGTTCAGCTCAGCTAATATCACTGAAGATTAAACATTAAATAGGCTATCCTAAATGGAAGCTAGTTTGCCATTACTGATGTGTTTGTCAGATTGTTATGGACAAAGAATAGATAGAAACTAGCTCACTACTCACTATATAAGGAGTGAAACTATCTTAATCAACATATTCATTATTCATTTGATTTAAAAAGAGTATAAACCAGGTGAGTTTGCAAGTTTACCTAGCATGATGCCTAATTAGCGATTAGCTTTACTAGCGATTAGCATGCTAATAATATAATACACATTCATGAATATGAGCGCTATTCTTTGTCCATGACAATCTGACAAACACATCAGTAAAGGCAAACTAGCTTCCATTTAGGATAGCCTATTTAATGTTTAATGTTCAGTGATGTTAGCTGAGCTGAACTCCACGTAAGGCTGCGCCTGCAGCCGGACTGTCCGGCCTAAAGCCAGACGAAGGGCGTACGTACCAAAATATAATAATAATAACATGATATCGATAAATCGAAACGATAAGAGTTGTATGCTTTACTAAGTAATATGCTGTAAGTAAGTTAACAGTAGTGAAAATGAAATGGCTGATCTAGATCCATATCATTCTAGATCCGTTGTGCGCTGTAATGACGTTAAAAACCCTTCGTGGGGAGGCACTTGTGTGATTGGCTGTAAACTGATTGGCATTTGTGGATCGGAGCAGAGAGTCCAAAACCACACACAAATAGTTATAATAAAATGGAAAAAAATGCGTTTTAAAATTTATATATCAATGTAACAACTTCCAGATATGTATTTGATGAAAATTGCAAATACCTGACGATTGGTACATTTGTGAATTTTTATTGCACATATTTAAAACAAGAAATATTTGTGTGCGCATCACAAATATGTTTACAAATCTTATTTTTATATGTGATTTTTTTTTTACTTATATATGGATCAAAGCATATTTGTGTGTGCATTGAAAATGCATTTGTGTATCGAGTCATATATATATATATACAACTCCCCAAATACATTTGTGAGTCCTTTTTCGTGCATTTAGCCATTTCTGTGGGCATTTATCCATTATGAGACTGTTCTGGCTCCATACTATCCTGTCTGTCTTCAGCCGTCACTATCATAAAGGCAATAAAAGCCCCAAAAAATACTTAAAGAAAAAAAAAAGCTCTAAAAGTAACAAAATACGCCTACAACTACCCTTAATGCTCACTAATTACCATAGCATATCTTGTTGAATGCATACAAAAACTTAATCACAGCACTTCCTGGGTTCCTGTTATCACGATCAGGTTGCCAGGCAACTAAATTCACTGCAAATTTTGTTACCATTTTTTTAGCCAGACTAGCTGTTTTCCCCTGTCTCCAGTCTATATGCTAAGCTAAGCTAATTGGCTGCTGACTGTACCTTCATATTTACAGACATGAGCATGGTTTCGATCTTCTGACTCTCAGCAAGAAAGCAAATGAGCGCATTTCCCAAAATTCCAAACTATTCTTGTAAATGAAAAAACATGACACGACATGGCATGACATAAAGCAGTGCCACACAACACATGAGATGAGATGACATGCAATGATTTGACATGATGCTATGACACAAAAAGCATGAATAAAATAAAGATTTAATAAAGTATCATTATTAAAATCTTGAAGTAAACTCTGCTTTATATCATGTTGTTCAAAGCACTGTATGCAAGGTAATCATTCATCCCAAAAAATTATAAAAAAAATAAAACTACGTACAACTCATGTAAATGTTCTGGCACTCCCAAAGTTTTATCAGTGTGCACCACATGCAATGCAATTACATTTTCAGTGCAGTATAATCTTTTGAGGTAAAATTCCCTCAAGAGAGTATCATTATGTCCATGATGAGAGGCAATCATGCTCAACAAAAGCAATGCTGGAGACTGTTTTATTAAGCCTTCTGTCTGCCTACATATACAGTAGCATCAACTACTGCCCACCAAAACCCACACACACTCCCTGCTGCACACTGCCCACTCACTACAAAACAACAGGATAGAGATAGTGAGCGTTCAGGACACAGCAGGCAAAGACAAGAGAAATTGTTATAGCTACTTAGACAGAAACACTACTATAATTCCTTTATACTGACATAAACTTAGGATTCATTTCATTATTTTGTGCATCTGATTTGTTTAAATATCACATAGTGACTTAATTTGTGTAACCCCCACAAGTCTACAGTACTCTAATGGGATTCTTTCATGCACTGCACTGAAACTTTCTTTACTAGATGCTCATTAAATAGCCAGTTTTGGACAGAGCATCTCTCATGAAACATGTTATATTTCAACAACTGATTTCTTGATGCAGAAAGAGAATGATTAATATGTTTGAACGTGGATGCCTTCCCATCGACAGGCCTTCTATAACAGCCTCCTGCGTCTGCAAACATTTATCAGAATATTTGGAGAGGATTATATTTGGTCACCTGTCTTTGGGGGCGTTTTTCACATTATAATGTTATAAGTTATATTGCTATAATGTGCCGTTATAACAATATAAGCTATCACATTATAATGTGAAATGTTTTATAGCATGGTCTGGGTGAATACTCGATTCTGATTGGCTGCTGGGTTAAACTGTCTGCTTACCATTCTAAATGAATGCGCTGAGAGGAATTGAATGAAAACAAAATCTGTATCTCATAAATACGTCTCACTACACTGAGTGTAGTCCTGAAGTGGCTAGCATAACGTTAGCTCTCTGTCTCGTAACTGAGTCAAAGTGCTCTATGAATGGAGGGAACTAGAAGTATGTCCCGTTGCCAAGTCGTATCTATGGTTCTGTTTTAGTTTTTATACACTTCTGTACTCTTTTACCTCACAGTTAATGACAAATGCTGACCATAATTGATTTATACATATGCTTTTGTCCAGTAAGCAACACCTGCAGCAAAGATCATTTAAGCAGAAATGCAAAACAAAATTTAAAGCAGTGATGAAATATAACAGGAGTGAGACGGCTGCTCAGCAGTTTCAGGTGCTAGGATTTGAAATATGTTGCTGTCCCCTTCAGGAAAAATAGACTGGTGATGGCACCAAAGGATTCCTTTGCTCTCTAGTCCCTTCCCATGACTTTTATCTACTAGTTTCCTGTCAGGTTTAATGTCAAACTGTGTTTCATTTCATGTGATGCTGCATTCTGGTATTAACTTAATGTGTAGTCTGTTCCTGAATTCTGGTAGAGTACATTGCTTTGGCTGCTCCAAGATACTGTTGTCCTGGAGCACAGTATTAAAATCACTTACAACTCTGCCTGAAAATTGCTTACCACCTCTTTGATGGCATCGCACAAGAATTCTGTTGGGCAATTTGCCTTGCTGTGCATTTTTAAGGTGATGCCATGTGCTAAAGAATGATAAGGAAGGTTGTATGAACAGAAGAACTTCCAGCTAAGGAATGATGGGATTTATCAACAGTCACACAGTTAAGTACAGTGACTGTCTAAACTACCCCCCATAGGTCTAGATCACTAGGCTGGCAGCATTCTCAGTGGATATTTTTCAGACAAAAATGATTTAAAATGACTTTAAATAAGGTTTTCACAGAGTGTACGGTGATATGTATGAGTGTAATTAAACATTACATGGATACCTGAAGTGTTTGTGGTTTGCTGTAAGTCATCAATCAACCTGACTAATAATGTAATCTATACTGTGTAACAATATATTAATAATAAATTTCTCTTTTTTCTTGCTTTCCTCCTTGGGGGGAGCAGCACACATTTGGCAGAGACTATTTGGCTTAACTATTTATGCAAATACTTGCCTCTCCTGAAAATGATTCACATACTAATAAAGCTTTTATCAAGTACAAAGCATGGAGACGGGGTTAAGAGGTTCAGTTTCTGTTTGACTAAGCAATTACAATGGGACAAAATGTATGATAAAAACAAATGTGAATTTGGCTGGTAATTGTCAGTTCCACACACTGGTTCAACCATCTCTGAATAGATCTGCCCTGATGAGATTTTTATGCACAACACAATAGATAGCAGCAGATCAGGAGAAAAGGGCAACCCTTATTAATGCTCACGGGTGGGCATAATGTGTGCAAACCCCAACTCAGAAAGCAGGACTTGTCAACTCTTGCCTTGTCAGCTGAGAACAAGAACTACAGTGGACATGTAATCAGGAAAGATGGATAAATTGTGTCCTGTAACGTGTTAAATCCTTCGATCTATCCAAATAAAGAACATCTAGAATAAGAGTGGGATGTGTGCGGCATGACAAATCTCCAGCAATGGAGCAAGTACCTGTGGAAGGTTTCCAGCATCTTGTTATTTCCACGCTGCAAGGAATTTAAGTTGCTCTAAATACAAAAGAGAATCTTACCAAGTAGATCGTAGGTGTATGTTAAACATCACCGAATGTTCCTCAGAGAAAGTTAAGATTGTTAATAGCTTGGGGTCAGTGAAAATAGTTTGGCTTATTTCTATGTGTGCAATTTTAAAATTGCTTCAGAGCAGCCCAGAGCATGACTTGATATCATTCAAGGAGCAGTTTCAGATTTATTCAAGGGAATATACAATATGTAATACAGTCTCCTACTCCCCTCCCACATCCCGCCTACTGTTTGACCTGATTTTAGTTGGTTTTAGATTTTAGTCTAGTTGTTTCCCTTTGTGTAAAACAAGTTGGTCTGCGATGAGCTGGTTGCTGTATCAGAGGCAACAATGTATCTTTTTTAGCAGAGGAGGTCAGAGGAATGTAGTGACTCACCTGGTTCTACCTTACTCCCTGCACCACCCTGACCTACTTCATTTCCCATTCTTCACCTCAAATGCCTCTCTCGATATCTACTCCAGTTCTTCCACCCATGTGCCTCCTCTCCTCTCTGTGCCATACACTGCTCCCCTCTCCTCCCTGTAATCTCCTCTCATCTCTTTTTATTTGACTTGATTTGTCTGGAGACTTGTTTTCTTCCAGTCAGAAACTGTAAGTCTCACTCGCCACAACGCCTCCCGAGGGACCAAAAGGGAAGCTGTTGATTGAAGTGATAAGTGAAGTCAGTATGTGTGTCTGTCTGAGTGTAAACAATATA